GACTGCAGTATCATGCTGGCGGTGCGCCACGTGCTGTTCGTTGTTGCCCTCCTGCTGCTGTGCGGGATTGTGCCGGCTGTTGGGGCGTCAACAAGGCACATGAATGCAGTGATAACTTCTCTTCGAACCGTAAAGCAAGCTGCAGAGGGTGCAGAAGCAACTGTCGAAGAGGCCCACAAGAAGGCTGCGATATCAAAGAATGATGCGGAAGAGGTGTTAAAGGCCGCGACGGCTGCGAAAGCTGCGGCTGAGGAGCTGAAAGAGGCTGTTGCCGCTGGAGTTCAACATGGAAAGGATACTGAAGTTAAGAAAAAAGCGAGGGTTGCTGTGACCACATCTAGGACAGCCAAGGAACGCCTTCGTATATTGTCAGAAAGCTCAAACAGCGTTGAGGTCGCAGCGACTGCAGCAGTTGTGAGTGTTATGTCGGTTATCAATGAAGTTAAAAACGTAGGGAAGTTGTCTGATAGTTTACTTTCGGTGAAAGTAAACACAGTGTCTAAACACGCAGAGACCACCCAGGCCGCGCTGTCTGGGGTTAAGAATAGTGCGAAGTCTTCATGTACCGAATCAACGGCGGCTCATGAGAGCGCAATGAAGGCGGAGTCTCACGCGAAACAGGCTGAAGAGCATTCTGCAATGGTAGAGGGTATCGGAGGAGAAAGTGCGGGTGTAATGCACAGTGGTTTAAATAAGGAGAGGGCAGAGATGTTTGCTTTGGCCGTGGCGGAAAGCGCCGGCAAGGCACTGGAAGAAGCTAATGCCGCAGCGCGAGAGGCCACGACTGCGTTCGCAAATGCTCAAAAGGCGCTTGGAGCGGCTCGAGAAATGACGAAGGCTGCAACCGACGCAGAAGAGGCTGCTGAAGAGGCTCTAAAACAAAAAAGCAACGATTTGTCCCGGTCACGATCCGTGGAGAAACGTCCTCTTGCATCCCCGCAGGAGAATGGACGACTCAACGGGGTGCCTGGCAAAGCTGCTTTGACTCACGTGCATGGCACTGGTGCTGCGGTTGATGTGCAGCCGAACGGAGGACACGATGCAGCGGAGCATCAACATTTACCGGAGGGGCCTCGGAGAGATGCAAGCAGCCGTGGCCCCGCAGCCGCACCTGGAGATGGGCGCGGGCCCAGACAGAGCACTGCTGAAGTAATCTCCGAGATGAAGCGGGGAGAGGCGAACTCACACCATCCTTCAGTAATGTCCCCGGCGTTGGGCGTGCCAGAAACTCAGCACAAGGAGCCTTCGCGTGAAGAAGAACTAAAAGATCAACCCAAAGATAATCATGCTGTCGTCGAATCAAAAGACACCGACCGTAAAGAGTTGCATCCACGTGAAGAGCAATACAGCACGAGTGTCGTTTCAGGCACAGCCGAAGTTCACAGTGAAGAAAAGGGCAACACCAATGAGTCCCCTCGCACCGATGCAGAATCTACGGACTCCACTGAAGCAGGCGAGGCACACAGTGCGTCAGCCACTGCTTCGGCTATTGATGCCATGAATGTCGCATCAAATACAGCACCCACGGGAGAAGGCACGACAGGTACCAACGAAGGGGCCGATGAAAAAGATACTTCTCCAGCGGAGAGCCTGTCCAGTGTGGCCACTACTGCTCCTACACTCGCACTAAGCGGGATCAGCAGCGATGTAAACACCAACCAAGGTGCGGACGGTGACGGTCGCTCGGCTTGCGTGGGTGTGCTGTCGCTGCTGCTGCTGCTTTCGATGGTTTTTTGCGTGGCTGTGGAGTAAAAACGGTTTGGGCGTCTGTGAGTGTGGTAACGACTGTTTGTTGCCTAGTTGGGCTGAGTTTTCTGGGATACCTCACAGACTGAATAATACAGTGCTTTCTCTTCATTGTTTTCGTTTCATTGCTGCCTCGTTGTGGGCGTAACGCCGACCCACTTGCCCTCGACGGCACGCACTGTGGGAAGGGGAGCCTGATTTCTTTTCGTTTCTTGCTTGGGCTTTGCTTTGCACGCTGCTGTGCGCCGCCCACTAACTGTTTCTCCTGCTGGGGGTTCTCTTTTCATCTTTTTGTGTGTGTGTCTGGAGTGCCTGCTGCTCCCCTCCGCTCCGTGTGTGTGTATTGGGGTTGCCTGCTGTGCATCGATTCTCTTTTCTCCTCCCTGCAGACCCCAGCTGCTCAAGCGATATTGAATGATGGCGACAGTGTGCCGCGTTGTGTGTGTGTTGGCCGCTGCTCTCTGCTCCACGGCCTTGTGCGCGGCTGCTGCTGCTGCTGATACTTCCGCTGGTCATCCCACAGGTGCTGCGGCTGATGTGTCGGCGAAGCAGACAGTCGTCACTGCAAAGAGCGAGGCCGTGGATGCAGCAAGGAAAGCGGAGGCAGCAGCAATTTCTTTTAAAGCTGCAGTGAGTGAAGCGTCGAAGATGACACCAGAGGCCCCAAAGGGTAGTCTGAAGGACGATGCCAAAAGTGCGGCGGGGTTTGGGTACCTGTCTTGGCGGAAAACGCTCGCTTCTGTGAAGTTTTTGGAGTTGACTTTATTGCTTGACGGGAAGGCGGAGGAGGCACAGAATAAGGCTAAAGAAGCAGCCTCGGAGTCTACAATAGCAGTCGAAAAGGCTGCGAAGGCAGTGTCGGCGGCCACAAAAGTAGTCTCTGATGCTACCAAGGCATTGCCGGAGGCTGACGTTCTGTTGGAAAAGGTGAAGGCAGAGAAGCAGAAAGTGGAGGAAGCCATGGAGAATGCTAAGCAAGCGGCGGGGAGTATACTGGGAGAGGCGGTGAATGTTGTGGCTGCGGTTGGGGTAGCCGAACAAGAGTTTATCAAAGCAAGTGCTGCTGCAGATACGTACCTCAAGAAGCTATACAACGTCAACCAAGCGGTAAAGGATCTTCTTAACGGAACGAAGGCCATACATAGGGCGGCAACGAAAGTGGATGAGTTGGCCAAGGAAGTTCAATCGGGGACAGCGACAACTAAAGGTAAATGCAATGAACTCAAAGAAATGACGAATGATGGGTTTGAGGCTCTCTTTACCGGACTGGAAAGAACCTACAAGGCAGCTGAGTCGTCCACGACAAAATCAGAAGAACTTGCTGGCCTCCTGCAGACGGCTTTGAAAGATACGGATAGTGCCATAACGTTGGCTAAAGCTGCGACATCAGCGGCTGAAGCTGCGCTGCAGCAAGCCAATAAGGATTTGGAAACCGCTAAGAGGAAACAGAAGGATCTGGAGGAGCAACAACAAGCCAGCGATAAGCTGGCGGCCGCTGAGAGGATACAGCAGGATCTTGCGGAGCAGCAACAGCAGGAGAGTGAGAAACAGGGAGATACGAGCCAGAATCAGGAGAAACAAAAAGAGGAGATTCCGGAAAGCGAAGTGAGTGAAAAGGACGAACAGAAAGGACTCAACCGTCCTCAGCAACCCGACACCACGGATGCCACTTCGAATCCTCCTGCTGGTGCGTCGTTGCCTAAGACTGATGGCGCTGCGGATGGCGAGAAGCTTCTTGCTCAGCACACAGATGGCAGCGACGTCCCCACGTGGGTGCGTACGCCGCTGATGCTACTGCTGCTGTCCTGTGTAGCTGTGTGGTAAGTCTTGGGTGTGTGTGTGGCTGTGTGTTCATGGGACGATGATGCTCCCGCCGTAATTGCGCTGAGTGCTGAGGACTGCACTCCTGATTGTTAAGATTCTTTTGTTTTCGTTTCATTGCTGCCCCGTTGTCGGCCTGGCGCCGCTCCATTAACCCTCGACGGTACATTCACTGTGCTCGATACCGTCGTTGGGAAGCGTCAATAACCCCTTCTTTCCATTGCTTGGGCATTGCGTAGCACGTGAGTGTTTGTCGTCCACTAATTCGTTTCTTCTTTAAATGACTTGCTTATATGCTTTGCACCCATTATTGGGCTCCGTCCCCCTTGCTGTGTGTGGGCCTCTCACACGAGGCGCATGGAGACAGACAGACTTAATTGCGTCCATGAATACACACATGCACACGGAGGGAGTCACCACGACTGCGTTGTGGCTGCTTTCTCTTTTTTTTTTTTTTGGTTGAACATGGGATTGTTGGGGATTTGTTTTCTGCGGGGTCTGTGCTCCTCCCGGCAACCGATTTCTTCCTTAATTTGTTTTTTTATTTGTGTTGTTCATTTTGCGGGTTGTGCGGGGAGCTGAGCTACTGGTGCTGTTTCTCTCTCCCTTCCTCCTATTCTGTGCGTTATATCCGTTGTGCGTTTTCTCCTCCCTGCAG